ATTGTGGCATTAAAGACCACGTATCAACCATGTGGAGGTGAAAAAAAGAAAAACCCATCACCCATCCTTTCGCCCCGTTTTGATTATTGGATTGCGTTCTAATTGATTTGACTCGACCCATTAAAACCCTCCCTAGTCTCATTTTGTGCTTTTAGAGACGATACCAGATCTACTAACTACCTAGAAAGTATTACTATCACATATCGGAAACATCTCCGCATGAACGATATAACAAAGGGGCCGGGCCATCTTAATCCGAAGCTTTTGGCTGATTGTAGTGGAGATTTGGATCCAATCCCATCTTCATCAAGGTTAGGGGAATAGTAGGGTTATCCAACTTGAAGAATTTCAATTATGTCAAACTCGGGTTAGAGTTTGGGCCCAATTTGTACTCTTTATGTTTATGTGGAAACCCCTAAAATTAAGAGAAAATTCATGATTAGTACCCTCTACTTTGGGCGTAGTGTTATTTTGGTCTTCAAACTTTAAAATGCAAAAATTCAAATCATGACAATCTAGTACATATTGTTAACTAGTTGTTAATCAATCGTTAAGTGACATTTGGAAAAAAACACAAATGTCCTTTGAGTGTTATCTAATTTTCTTTATCAACCATTTAAACATTGACAAAAAATTAACAGTCTCAAATCCTTGCCTCTTTTATTTAAGAAAGTTGGGGTCACTAGAATACCGACTCAAACGTGACCCCAACTTTCTTGAATGGAAAAGGTAAGGATTTGGAATTGTTAATTTTTTGTCAACGTTTAAATGGTTGATAAAGAAAATTAAATAACACGTGAAGGGCAATTGTGTGTTTTTCAAATGTCATTTAATGACTGGTTAACAACTAGTTAATGACAGATACTAGATCGTCAAGTTTTAAAAATTTGGGTATTGATTTGTCGCATTTTAAAATTTGGGGACTAAAGTGATACTATGCCCAAAGTATAGGATAGTACAAGTGATATTCTCGATATATGATTGTAGCATCTTGAATGATAAATCTCTAGGAAGAGAGAGAGATTGTTGTGGAGCTCACCTTAAGAACATGACATGACAAAGACGATACCCCTAATAGTGGCCCCTGTGGAGGACAGCCTTGGCATATGTGTTGTATGTTCCAAATCACAAACTATGAAACTACCCAAGGCTTGATGAAATCAACAACTTTCACCAGTAAATGTATTTGAAAACCAAAGCATTAGCTAATATATATGTACTTGTGGTTCACTTTGTCGAAGGCATGTACATTGGAGGAAGAGAAATATATGGTCATGGAAGGCCCATGGAGTGATAAGGGCAGACCATTGTCTTGATCTGCACATGTTTGTTCAATTGGACAGGTCATTTATGTGTTTGGTCACAGTGGCTCGTGGCCCAAACAATAATGCCCATCTCATGGTCCCAACTCCCAACTCCCAACTCCAAGCCACACTGTAAAAGCTGGTTGGTGCTGGTGCCAAAAATGTGGGGGACATTCATTCTTTTCTCAGAGAAACATTTATTGGTGTAGGCCTCACTTGTAGCTTGGGTGTGAACTGCTTTTGGAGTTGAACACTTTTGATTTAAAGCCTTAAAACCCCACCAGGAATCCAGGAATCCAGTTTTTTTTTTTTTTTTTTTTTCAGAAGATCCAGTTAGTTTTACAGCAATGCTCCTACATGTTTCTTCAATAACTACTGAGAAGGCAATCACCCATTTTTTTTTTTTTTTTTTTTTTTTTGTGGCCCAACACAAGACATGATAGACAGATCGAGGGAGAGATAAGGCACCGGTGTTTGAGAGAGGCTGTTCATATTTGTACTCCATTGTTGTTGGTAATTTGTTGAACCATATTCAATTATTCTGCATGTTCTTTAGGGTGATTTGTTTCATTTTCTTTCTATTTCTCTATTTTCTAATTGTTTCACATCTTGAGTTTCTCATTATATAACAAATACCTTTAGAACTGAATCTGAGTGAAAATTCACTTCATTTCTGGATTTGAACTCTTACCAAAATGCAAGAATTTTGCCCAAGGCTCACAAAGAGCTAAAAGAATCCATTTGATGCATGTACTGTATTACAAAATACAGGACAAGCTCAATGCCCTCGGGCTATTCTTAGGAATGGCAATGGAGTGGGATCATATTTTTGGTTGGTGACTCCAATTTTAAAATAAATCCCTATTCCCAACCTTGATCCCCATTGTAGAAAAATGTTGTCCTCCATCCCCAATCACTGATGAAGATGGGTTTTCTGTAGGAATCCAAATCCCCGAAATTTTTAATTAATAATATTTTTTTGAAAAATAAATATATTTAAAATAAAATAAAATTTTAAAATATAAATAATATTTTAAATATATTTTGATATATATATATATAATATAAATAATATTATATATACAAAATAATATATATAATCAGGATCGGGGATCCCATTAATCCCCATCCCTGACACCATCGGGTTGAGAAAGAGATGAGGAAAATTGCCATATGTATTGTTCTATAACGTTTGTTTGAAAATCTAGAAAGCCCTTAATTATTATTCATTCACTTGTATGATTCTCCATTGAGGCTTATTTTGAGACCCGTTTGTGAGAGATTAACTTGGATTCAGTTGATTCGAGGACACCACTGTAAATTAATATGGAGAGCTGTCACGGTAACCAAATTTGGCTCTTCTAACTTTTTCACCAAACATTGCTTATTGGTTTTTCCAATGGGTTTCACCTCACAAAGCTAAAATCCACAGCATGAGAGGCTCTCCCAAACGGGCATTGGCGACTTTTGCATAGCAGCTTAGCGAAAACGACTCAACAAAATCCCAACCCAAACAAAATTAAGGAACACATTTGGTGAAGCAAAGATAGAGAGAGAGGATACTGATTCTATGAATGAAAATGGAAAAACTGATTCGGAAAAAGTCTAAACTGCGGCATGGTCAATTTGGTCTTTCCACCTCCAAGAAAAGAGAAAAGCAAAACCACTAATAACTAATTACATACTTCGAAGTTCCATGGATGCATGTGGAAGTTTGACAAACATTACCCTCTTTTGGGGTAGTTGGTTGGAACGGCTGAATAGAAGGAAATAATTTAAAGCAAAAGCAGTTATTAGAAGCACTAAAACCTCCACAATAAACATTCCAAGAATCCTAAATCTAGATTGAATTCTATCTCTAATTATGAGATGAAAGAAAGCTTTGTCACTTCAAAAGGCCCATCTTCTTAAATATATCTATTGCTGTCAAATATGGGGTTGAGGGCAACAAAGTAATATCCTTAGCATCTGAGGCCGATTTGTTTGATTTGTAAACAAAAGGAGAGCGCACGTTAGAGGCTTCGGGTGTTATTGTAGAGGCGAAGATTTCAATGGTCAAGTTAGCTAAATACTTAAAGAGGGGTCGGACCAGACAAGAGACGAAGACTCAGAACTTAGTCCTTAATGACCAAGAATAATTCTTAGGATTCTGAATGTCTTTACCTTGAGTTGAGTGCCTCTGTTTTATAATTAATCTTACCTTAGGAGTGGTTGGAAGCAGCTGATGATGTGCGGCCAAGATTTGATTTGACTGACGCCATGTGGCACGATTTGAGGCCCGCCAAGTATCCAATATCAATATCCCTCATACTTAAGGATGCAAATGAATAGGATCATGATTCGATCTGAATTTGAATCCAATCTTATTTTGCTAAATTCAGATATTTTTGGATTGGAGCAAATAATAGAAATTGATTAAAAACTGGATCAAACTTGGATCACTTCCTAATTTCTAATCATGTTTTCCTTTTAATAATTTGTTAAATTTTACATAAATTAAACCAAATCGGATCAAAGATAATCAAATCTGTTTGCATCCCTACTCRATAGTGATCACTTTTGGAACATATTAACACATTCCTCACAGTCACACTCTACAAAGAAGGCCACAAGGTGCCCCAACAAAAAGTTTGGGAAGAATCTGAATCAGTACTCCAAATCAGAGTCGGAAAGAAAAGAAAAGAAGATTATGGCAGTATTTGGAAGCTCTTGGAATTCTTTTTCTGTCCCCACGGCCCCACCGACACCCCACTAGGGAAATCAATTCTACAACAGGTCTGAATTAAGCGATGGACTGAAATATCCTAAGCCTTTTTACTAAATTACATACTTGAAGTGTTCAAATCTTCACCCTTGAATCAAATCATCAACATGCCCAATGTTTTGTTGTATTCATCCCCCAGTATTTTCGTATCTTGTACTTTATTTATTCCATGCATTAATTAGCTTCTCTGCATGCATATCTCTGCTGTCAGGTTTCCAAATTTATAAAAGAAAAAAAAAAACACCTAAAACCTCACTCCTTTAACCCTTATTGCACCAACCCATAAAATGACAAACATGCCACTCAATTAGTCCATTTCTTACCCGTTTGCAAAAAAGAGTCCATTTATTACAATAAATGAGAAATAGATTTCCATTTATAATGATTATTGTTACAAATTACTTTTAACAAAGTACTTTTCTATGGTTTTGTAGGGGATAAGTAAAAAATACAAGACTAACAAGCTGATACTAGAAATAAAAAATGTGTGAGAACAAAGAAAGAAACCGAAGTCCTAAGATTTTAGTTAAACTGTGCATCACTTGCGCTTGATGTGAATGGGACTGATCATGCCACAGACTGTCTAATGCAGAGTTTCTTTATTCTCTTCTTGCCACGTGAATATCACGTGCTATTCAAAGCAGTTTAGTTTAACTTGGGCTGGATTGGCTTGGCTTGGGCCTTGGGCTTGAGGTCAATCCTGCCAAAACCAAAATGTTAAAAGTTAAAAGCTCAACCCTGATCCAATATCCAACCTATAATATTGTTAAAAAGGCATCTAACAGAGAGAAGAATATAAAACAAGGTCACTAGTGATCACGTTGTTATTTTTAATTATTTTTGGAGCTCGAGGGTATTTTTGATAATTTAGTTCCAGTCAGGTCCCATTCATGCTTACATGTGCATGAGTAAAAAAGCACTGCTACCCTGCCTCTCTTTTTTTGAGCTTCAAGTCTTCACTTTCACTCCACTTGAAATTCTCTCTCCTCTCTCTCTCTCTCTCTTTCTCCTTCCATTCATCTCCAAGACTCCAACCATTAGAGGGCGAAGACAAAAAACTCATTGGATTTTCAGAAATCCCACCATCTGCTTCTCTCTGACACTGGTTCACTAAATTGTTCAGTAGATATGTTCGTGCATTTTAGAAATCAAATCCTACCGTTAGATACTTTCCTGTTCATGTTCATGTTCTGGTGCATTTCTCCATTTCTCTGATAACTTCTTCAACCGTATCAATTCTTCTTTTCCTCTTTTTAGGCTGTATTCATGTTCTGTTGTTTTCCCCATTAATGGCTGCTGCTACTACTACTGCTGCTCAAACCTTTCAGAACAACAACAATAACCTAGGGGACGTTAGCAGGGAGGATATCCAGCTCGCCATTGCCAAAGCTGTGGAGCTGAGAGCTTTTCATGCTTCTTTGATGCAAGGAAATAGCCCTGTAAATTTCAGGTTTCCCAGCTCCGTTTTTCCTCCTCTTTCACGACCCCTCTCTCAGTTCTCGGCTCAAGATTACCCTGTTTTTACTCCGGTGAGTGAGATTTTCTTTGTTACCCCACGTTTACTTTTTATTTGTTGGTTGAATATCATACGTCCTCCATGGATTCCTGAATTCTGTTTCTTTTCTTGGTTAATTTAATGTAGATTTTGTTCTCACAACTTTAGACTATAACTGTTACTGGGCTTTGCCTTTAATGGAAGCTTTTAATGCATAAAGCTTCTGATTTAATGGAACCCAGAAAAATTTTTCATATTTAGAGGCGATTACTAAACTTTGTTTTTCATCTTTTGGCATGGTTTACTGAGTTGGGCAAATTTGAACAGAGTTACGAAGAGGAGCCATTACCTGCGTATCAACACTTCCAACTGGAGAACAGAACTTTGTCGGAATACACAGATGCTTATGGGCTAGAAGTAGGAGACGAGTGTAACGCAGATCTGTTCGACAATTTAAAGGATACTTCGTCTTCGAGAAAGGGGTTTCCTTCTGGTTTGTTTGGCAGAGAGCCTCCTATCTGTCAAGCTGAGGATCATAAATCCGTAACCAGTTCTTGCACTAACCACATTTCCTCCCTTCAGACATCCTCTGACACAAATTTCTTAAAATCTAGAAGGAGAACTGGTTCGGGGGATTTCAAATCTGTCACGACTTGCAATAGATGCAAGCCTGCAATTATCACCAGTGAAAGCGAGAATGGATCCAAAGGTGTCAAGAATTCTAACAGTGTAGTCCCGTTGACCGATTCTCACTTACCAGTTCAGTCTCAACCAAAGAACAAGGGAGCTATCATGTCGTGGTTATTTCCTCGGTTGAAGAAGAAGCACAAGAAGGAAACATCCCCAAACCGAACGGAATCTGAAGAAGTCTCTCAGTCTCAGTCTCAGATGTTCAGGGAATTGGGTATAATGTCGGTAGAATCGCTGAAGAAAGAATTGATTGAAGCCAATGAGCATAGAGATGCAGCCTTGATGGAGGTTTCCGAGATGAAGTCTTCGTTGGTGGAGCTGAAACAGAAGCTGGAGTACCTGGAGTCCTACTGTGAAGAGCTGAAGAAGGCTCTGAAACAATCAGTCCCCGAAAAGGAAGTTCCAGTTCCTGAAAAGTCTAGTAATCTGCTCAAGAGAGGGAAGTCGGCTGATGGGAACAGTGAAACTCTCATGCCTGTTAGCCATGAAGTAATGGTAGAGGGCTTCCTGCAAATTGTCTCTGAAGCTAGATTATCAGTTAAACAGCTGTGCAAAACTCTTGTGGAGCAGATTGAAGAAACAGATAGTAATTTGGTGGAGAAGCTAAATTTGCTTCTTGAACCATACAAACTGGCTCTCAACTCCAAGTATTCAAAAGCAGTGTTCTACCATTTAGAAGCAATTATAAATCAGTCCCTGTTCCAGGATTTTGAGAACTGCACATTTCAGAAGAATGGCTCACCCAAAATCCTAGATCCTAAGCAAGATCGCCAAGCTAAGTTCGCATCGTTTGTCGCGCTGAGAAACTTGAGTTGGAATGAAGTTCTACACAAGGGAACTAAGTACTACAGTGAAGAATTCAGTAGGTTCTGTGATCATAAGATGAGTTGCATCATTTCTACACTGCATTGGACTAGACCATGGTCTGAGCAGCTTCTCCAGTCATTCTTTGTGACTGCCAAGTGCATTTGGTTGCTCCATTTACTTGCATTTTCATTTAATCCCCCATTGGGAATCCTGAGAGTTGAAGAGAATAGAAGCTTCGATTCCCTCTACATGGAGGATATATTCAATGAAAGGAAGAAATCACAAACCCCAAGTAGAGTTAAGATCATGGTGATGCCAGGGTTTTATGTTCAGGATAGGGTACTGAGGTGTAAGGTTCTGTGTAAGTATAAAAGTTTAGCTTAAGTAGTCATTCATTTCTGTATCATTATTGTTGTTGTTCCCTGGTTGGCATGGGGCCAGCCAAGGGGTGTATCATTTGTTCAGCTGTTCGTGTTTGTACCTTTCAAATTTAAGCTAATAAATATTCAAAGAAGGGGTTTCTTTTATTTCAGTTTGATGGAAAGGGAATACATAGTTGTTATCTGGGGCTATTTGGGAGGGCTATAAGCTTTGGTTGAATTGCTTCAGCTGAACTGCTATGAAGAAGCCTCTAAAAGAGGGCTTGGATCTGCTACCCACACCTCTACCCCGCGAGTAATTACAGCTGTGCATTGAGAATATCTCTCTTGTCATTCATGGGGACATGTTTCTGATACAGGGCAGTGGTGTTTTGTGGGTATGGATGTGAGAACAATTTGTGGGTAGCAAATCAGGAGTGTCCAAAAGAAGGTTCAACAGAGGGCCATTCAAGTAGCTTATAAAATAGTCCCTGAGTTTTCACCATGCATTGCTTACTTGCTTTCCGAGTAGGCCAAACCTCGCAAAGCTAAAAGCAGCAATGCAAAGGCCCTCTTAAACAGGAACTTTTCAATACTGATTACCAAGTGCTCATTTGGGAGGGCTGAAGTGCAGGAATTCACATCTGTGCCCTCACAAAGTGTGCCCCACAGAATCTCCAACCATATATTGGGAACATCTCGCACTGGCAATTTTGGGAGATATTTGCACAGATGTGGTCTCAAAGCACAGTGGCTTCTGTCTTTGCAAGGTGGGCCCCATAAAGACAGCCTAAAAGATATATTTGGTGAAGCCTGTTTTAGTAGTTACTTCAAAACAGATCAACGAAAGCAGTTCAATCAAAGCTGAAACCCTTCCAAACAGGCCCTGAAGCTCTGGTCGAGCGGTTTTCATTGAGTTACTTTGAAGAAAGCCAGAGAAACTACTAACAGGAGTTAGAATGGGGGAGAAATGTTCCAAAATACATGGGGATGTGCCTGTTAGGCACCCATTCCAATTCAAACCACTTTTATTATAACAATGTCATAGTGCTGCATTAAAATGACAAATGAAAGCCTTTGATGTGTTGGTATGACCCCATCTTGGATGAAATGGTGCCTCAGTGGGGCCACAGCAATACATTAACGTCATCATTTTCTGTTTTAGCCCTGCGCTACAACATTGCCAGAGGATGCCAAATTTGGGCTTAGCATTTTACCCAACATTGTTTATAGGCTGTTTGGATGTGGCCTATCTGGAAAAGCCAGAAGTCACCACAAAAGAAAAAAAAAACTCCCAAACGGGCACCAGGGTAAATTTTTAGGGGTTCTTACCGATGTTTCCACCCACAGAATTGAAATTAACGTCTAGCATGGCTGAAATGTCTTCCGAGTCCGGTTTATAAATGTGTAATTAAATTCAACTCCGCCCCCTGCATACGTCACCTAAATTTGATCAAAATGCCCCTCATATTTAATAGACGTTGCTTCCTTTCTCGAGAGTCGAGGCTTCTTCCCGAAATCTCTGTCCAAGCACCACCTTTGCCGCTTCCTTCCGGCTGAGTCGTTGCTACGGAAACCAGTTCCGTCTTCAAAGTCGCCCCCAAGTACCTTGCAGATAACCCAGTAACTCAGTAAGTGAAGAACCGACGAATCATTTTGTATTTAACGTGAGCTTCAACCATCATTGTCAAATCAATTTTATCAATAACGATGGATTAAGTTTTTAATGTGGTGTTTTGTATGGTTTTTATTTATTTGATAAACAATGCTATATCATTGTCAAATCAATTTTTATACTATCATGCGGATTTGTAAACATTGATATTGAGAAAATGCAGTTTTGATTTATGTGCATGTTAATCATTAGGGAAAGTTTCATTTTAACGCTTCCCCCAATAGTTAAGTATTTATTTATTATTTCGCTGATGTGATACCTAATGGTGCATAGTTATTAATAAATGGTTTATCAAATGCTATTTTCGGTTTTGAAAATAAATCAAATACAAACGTTTACTTAATAAACGTAAACTATACCAAATACATACTAAGTTAGGAGTTTTTGAAACAAGAAAATTTTTATTTTAAGTCAATGAATAAAAAAGCTATGTAAAAAGTTTATTTGAATATGAGATTATGACAAACCTTTCCTTGATGCTTCAAAAGAAATGCAGTAATCCAATAAGGCAAAGTTGACCATTTGAAATATGATTTACAATCATGCATAAGCAAGTATAGACAGTCACAAAATAGGGGTGTTCACGGGTCGGGTTGGGCCGGTTTATTGAGGTTTTTCCAACCGACTCGACCTGGTCGGGTTACCTAAGGTGGAAAYTGAAACTGACCCACTGATAGGCCAAATCGACCTAGTCGGTTTGAGTTGGGTTGAGTCGGTTTCGGTTTTGCTCCAGTACAAAAGGACACCTAATTGAATTCTAATTATAATTGCCTAATGGGTTGCCTATTTGGTGTAAAAGATTATAGAAATTTAGAAACTAAAATAGATTGCCTATTCTAATTGTAATTGCCTAATGGGCCTTCTAGTTCTAGTAGAAGACTAGTTATAGTTAAGTAGGAAACTACTCAAACTATGAACTTCGGTTCGGGTCGGATTGTATGAAAACCGAAACCGATCCGATATATCGGTTTATATATTTTCCCAACCCAAAACCGACCGGTACTGATGAAAACCCGACCGACTTGAATTGAATCGGTTTGATGGGGTTGGGCATTCTTATGGACAGCCCTATTACAAAATGCAACTCGTTATCAACACTATAGTCATTCATAAGTAAGTATACACAACCATACATACAAATTGATATAAGGAAAAGAAAAATCAATTGCTTTGGAATATTGCTGGAATTCGGGCTATAACTACTCGATTGATTGGGGCCTATTCATTTTGTCCATGGTCACCCAGGTTGACGTTTGGTTCTCGGTGGCTGCAATGCATTGCTTGTCAATCTATTGACACCCGGACTAGTTGATGATGATGCAGCTTCGTCTGCATGATCAACGGTGGACATGGAGTGTATTAGCTCCGAGAATATGATGTTCTGCATTCCATTGGAATAGTATACACACTTCATCTTGCATGTGACACAACTGCACATGCATCCAAAGGAGGACTAGGGACACAATGGAATGAGGGAAGTAACCTTTCACCTTTCTTGATAACCAAAGGACCAACAAAGCTTATGGAACCTTGAATTGAAAATTAAAGCATCAAGATGCCCCAGTGTCACTTTATGTCATGTTTGGGGTGAAAATTGGAAATCATAGATTTCTATGTAGAAGGGGTAGAGATGCAATTTAAATATTATTATATTATACATCATAAATTGTGTACCCCTTTTACAAAAATTTAAGCAACTCTTTAACTAGTTAGACACTCATCAATCATAACAGGCCTTGATTCAAGAGAACTCCCAGATCAATTAAGAGATGCAAAAAGATCTAGTGGAAAGATCTGAAAAAAGAATATTAATAGTAACAACAATAGAATGCAGGTCCTTTGAATGTAGAGGTAGAGTTCATTCTTGTTTTTAATAGTAACAACAATTAGAGATTTTTTTTTTTTTTACTTTTTTTATTAATTTGTAGGATAAGATATAAAAACCTCCCCTGAAGTTTATGATAATTATAAAAACCTTCTTTATAGTTTCATTTTAGCAAAAGCTTCCCTTTTATTTTTGAAGAAATCGACAAATACCTCCATTCTGCCAATGACCAAGGTGAAAAAACATTAAATCGATGATTTTTTTTGTTAAAATACCTATTTTACCCTTTTACGAATTAAAGTACATACGTTTTTACTAAAATACCCTTATCTATATGTTATATTCTTTACTCTCTCTTATCAATTTCAGTTTTTTCTATCTGAGGAGGAGAAACCCAAGAGGATTCATTTACATTTTAATGTACAAGGATTTCGGTCATGTGGGTTATCTGATTTCATTTTAACGAACAAAGATTTTATCCTGTATCCCTCTTCATTTTAACTCTCTAGGGTTTTACTAGTAGGTTTTTAACAGTAATTAGTCACTCAATCGACTATCCTTGTTATCTTTGTATATCTATTGTAGATTTTTAACACTAGGTAGAGGGTTTTGAGTCAGGTGGGGTGAACATCACCAACCCATCATTTCCGATTCTTGCAGTTACATGTCATCAAGACAATGGGCGCTTATGGAATGGATAACAACAGTTTAATCCTCACCAAGTTCCTACTCCACTACCTCAATACCGCTGTCCAAAGGAAAGGTGGAATTGGGTCCAAGTTTGAATATAGGTGCACTTGCAGACATGGCTGTTTATGGGGTAATTTTGATGGGCAAAACCGCATTCTCCTGCAGAGGGCTGTTTTGGGTATTGAGAGTGGTTACTTGCTTGGATCTGAACAGAGAATACAGAGTTCGGTTGGAGAGATTCATTGGTGGAATGCTTGACCAGGCAACCTCTCGGATGATTTACTCATATCTGGTCATTAGACCTGTTCATGGGCCGGGCCGGGCCAGGCTAGGCTCAGGCCGGGCTTTTACTCTTCATAAACATGATTTTGTTAGGCCCGAGCCCGAGCCCGGCCCGACCAACGGGCCTACAACATGGGCCCGAGCCCGACAGAAGAAAGATCTCACCGCCGGTGATTGTGTTCGTCGGTGCTGAGTTTGAGTCTATGTGTGCGTGTGTGTGAGAGAGAGAGAGGATTCATCGTCGCCGCCGATTTTCAGTTCGCGGTGAGATGTGATTTTGACTGTGAAAAGGGAGAGAGAGTGAGAGAGAGAGGATTCACCACTGCCGCCAGTGCCTATGTTTGCCGCTTGCCGATGTTTGAGATTTGAAAGAGAAGGGGAATGAGAGAGAGAGAGAGAGAAAGTGAAGACTCACCGCCGATTTGCCGGAGTTGTTGCAGTAGTAAATGTTCGTCGGTTCTGCGACTGCTTGAGAGTGTGAGGAGGATGAGAAGAGAAGAGAGGTTCAGCAGTGGGCAATCCGGCTAATTGGAAAAGTGGAAAGAGATGAATGAGAAGGGTTACTTAGATATTAGGGTTTTGGGGTTTAGTCTATAGGTCGGGCCGGGCTCGAGCTAGGCTATTTTGGCAAATCCCGAGCCTAGCTCAAATTTATTGTGGGAAGGGATTTTTGGCCCGAGGTCAAGCCCGCGGGCTTATTT